ACCAGACAAAGACTCCACCAAAAAGGAGAATTATAGACCAATAACCCTGATGAACATGGATGCGAAAATTCTCACAAGAGACTAGCCAATAGGATCCAACAACACATTAAGAAGATTATTCACCATGACCAAGTGGGATTTATTCCCGGAATGCAAGAGTGGTTCAACACTCATAAAACAATCGACATGATAGATCATATCAACAAGAGAAAAGACAAGAACCGTGTGATCCTCTCAATAGATGCATAAAAAGCATTTGACAAAATACAGCCTCCATTCCTGATCAAAACTCTTCAGAGTGTAGGGATAGAGAGACTATCCTCAGAATCTTAAAAGCCATCTATGAAAAGTCCAAAGTGAATATCATTCTCAATGGTGAAACAGTGAGAGCCTTTCCCCCTAAGATCAGGAACACAACAGGGATGCCCACTCTCACCAATGTTAGTCAACATAGTCCTAGAAGTCCTAGCCTCAGCAATCAGACAACAAAAAGAAATAAAAGGCATTCAAATTGGCAAAGAAAAAGCCAAACTCTCCCTCTTTGCAGATGACATGATACTGTACATAGAAAACCCAAAAGACTCCACCCCAAGATTGCTGGAACTCATACAGCAATTCGGCAAAGTGGTAGGATACAAAACCAATGCCCAGAAATCAGTGGCATTTCTACACACTGACAAGGAGACTGAAGAAAGAGAAATTAAGGGAGTCAATTCCATTTACAATTGCACCCAAAAGCATAGGGTACATAGTAATAAACCTAACCAAAGAGGTAAAGGATCTATACCCTAAAAACTACAGGACACTTCTGAAAGAGATTGAGGAAGACACAAAGAGATGGAAAAATATTCCATGCTCATGGATTGGCAGAATTAATATTGTGAAAATGTCAATGTTACCCAGGGCGATTTATACATTTAATGCAATCCCTATCAAAATACCATGGACTTTCTTCACAGAGTTGGAACAAATTATCTAAGATTTGTGTGGAATCAGAAAAGACCCCAAATAGCTAGGGGAATATTGAAAAGGAAAACCATAGCTGGGGGCATCACAATGCCAGATTTCAGGTCGTACTACAAAGCTGTGGTCATCAAGACAGTGTGGTACTGGCACAAAAACAGACACATAGATCAATGGAACAGAATAGAGAATCCAGAAGTGGACCCTCAACTTTATGGTCAACTAATATTCGACAAAGGAGGAAAGACGATCCACTGGAAAAAGGAAGTCTCTTCAAAAAATGGTGCTGGGAAAATTGGACATCCACATGCAGAAGAATGAAACTAGACCACTCTCTTACACCATACACAAAGATAAACTCAAAATGGATGAAAGATCTAAATGTGAGACAAGATTCCGTCAAAATCCTAGAGGAGAACACAGGCAACACCCTTTTTGAACTTGGCCACAGTAACTTCTTACAAGATACATTTAAGGAAGGCAAAAGAAACAAAAGCAAAAATGAACTATTGGGACTTCATCAAGATAAGAAGCTTTTGCACAGCAAAGGATACAGTCAACAAAACTAAAAGACAACCTACAGAATGGGAGAAGATATTTGCAAATAACATATCAGATAAAGGGCTAGTTTCCAAGATCTATAAAGAACTTATTAAACTCAACACCCAAGAAACAAAAAATCCAATCATGAAATGGGCAGAAGACATGAACAGATATTTCACCAAAGAAGACCTACACAAGGACAACAAGCACATGAGAAAATGCTCCGCATCACTTGCCATCAGGGAAATACAAATCAAAACCACAATGAGATACCACCTCACACCAGTGAGAATGGGCAAAATTAACAAGGCAGGAAACCACAAATGTTGGAGAGGATGCGGAGAAAGGGGAACCCTCCTGCACTGTTGGTGGGAATGTGAACTGGTGCAGCCACTCTGGAAAACTGTGTGGAGGTTCCTCAAAGAGTTCAAAATAGACCTGCCCTACGGCCCAGCAATTGCACAGCTGGGGATTTACCCCAACGATACAGATGCAGTGAAACGCCAGGACACCTGCACCCCGATGTTTCTAGCAGCCATGCCACAATAGCCAAACTGTGGAAGGAGCCTCGGTGTCCATCGAAAGATGAATGGATGGGACGCCTGGGTGGCTCAGGGGTTGAGTGCCTGCCTTTGGTTCAGGGTGTGATCCCTGAGTCACAGGATCGAGTCCCACATCGGGCTTCCTGCTTGGAGTCTGCTTCTCCCTCTGCCTGGGTCTCTGCCTCTCTCTGTGTGTGTGTCTCTCATGAATAAATAAATAAAATGTTTTTAAAAAAAAAGAAAGATGAATGGATAAAGAAGATGTGGTCTATGTGTACAATGGAATATTACTCAGCCATGAGAAAGGACGAATACCCACCATTTGCTTCAACGTTGATGGAACTGGAGTGTATTACGCTGAGTGAAGTAAGTCAATCGGAGGACAAACATTATATGGTCTCCTTCATATGGGGTATATGAAAAATACTGAAAGGGAGGGGAGGTTGGGAGGGACTTGGGGTAATGGGTGACAAGCACTAAGGAGGGCATTTGATGGGATGAGCACTGGGTGTTATATGTTGGCAAATCAAACCTCAATAAAAAAAATACTTTAAAAAATGCTGGAAAAGAAAAAATTAAATATTCAATATACTCTTTTTAAGGAAAAAAAAATAAACCTGCCCCAAAAGTAATAAGATACGTGGGAATAAACCTCACCAAAGGGGCAAAAGATTTGTACTCTGAAAAATATCAAACACCAAGGATAGAAACTGAACAACACACACACCGCCCCAAACTGATGATTTATAAACATATGTGGACTCAGCTGTAGCAATTAAAGGACTGAAATGCTCATAAGGAAGAAGAAGAAGAAGAAGAAGAAGAAGAAGAAGAAGAAGAAGAAGAAGAAGAAGAAGAAGAAGAAGAAGGAGAAGAAGAAGAAAGAAGGAGGAGGAGGAGGAGGAGGAGGAGGAAGAAGAAGAAGGAAGAAGGAAGAAGAAGGAAGAAGAAGCAACAGACACTGCTCAGCTCTCACACCCAGTCCCCACTTCCTGATCAGGAGCTTAAGGATTACTGGCTGGCATGGTGAACATCGTCATCTGGGAACGGCCTGTACAAACAAGCTCCCGGTGAATTCCGTGGCAGTTCAGTGTCATACCCCCCAAACAAAGGCTTCCACTTTCTCTCAGAAACACAAGGAGCTGGCCTCTGCCAGGGAAGCCATTTCCATACAGCCAAGGGGCTTTCTGACATGGGCCAGCCATTCATGAAAATGATTTTCTAATGGAAGGACAGGTAAGAGGATACTGGATCTCTGAGGAGAATGGGAGGTGACAGGGTGAATACCCTGAATTCACCTTTCAACTAGCCTCTCACATAAGAGTTAGAACTTATCTCAAACTAGCTGTGGAGGCATAATGGACATGCAATACTGACATCTGAGCATCAAGGGTTCTTTGAATGCAGCTTTCAAGTACCCTCTCACATTCAGAACGTACTTCACAGTACCTCTGGAGTCCTGATGGAAATGCGTCTCTCAAACTATGGAGTTAAATCCTCTCTCAGCAGTGTGTCAGTAATGCTGTTGAAATGCACTATACACACATCTGGGTAATAAGTGACACTTCAATGGAGCTTTGAACTAGCCTCTCACGGAAGGGAGGTAGAAGAACTCTCAAAAGTAGGTATGGAGGCACACTGGGATCATGGTACGTAACTGTGAGAAACAGGCCTTCCTTGGATGCAGACTTCAACTAGCCTCTCACATAATGGAGTTAAAATGTATCTCAACAGTCAGTATGGAGGCAGAATGGAAATGTGATATACTTCCCTGAGGAGAGCATTCCTTCAGTGCAGTTTTCACCCTCCTATCACATTAGGAAGTTAGAGCCTACGTCAACAGTAGATTTGGAGGCCCAATGGAAAGGCCCCATACTTATCGGTGAGAAAAAAAGCATTCCTTAAACGTGGCTTTGAACTAGCCTCGCACACAAGGATGGAACCTATCTCAACAGCAGGTATCAAGTTGCAGTGGACACGCGCTGAACACATCTCTGGGTAATAAGCGATTCCTGAATGCATCTTTTAACTAGCCTCTCACATAAGAAACCTACCTCATCAGTAGGCGTGGAGGTCAATGGAAATGTGATTCTTATTTCTAGACAAAGAAGCGTTCCTTGAATGCAGCTTTCAACTAGCTTCTCACGTAGGGGAGTTGGAACCTACCTCAACAGTAGCTGTGGAGGGTAAACGGAAATGCACTGTGCTCAATCTCAGAAACAAGTGTTCGTTGTGGGCAGCTTTCAAATAGCCTCCCACACAAAGGAGTTAGAACCATTCGGAATAGGATGTGTGAGGTGGCAATGGCTATGCGATATCCTGAGCTCTAGGGGAAAAAGCGTTCCTTGAAAGTGCCTTTCAACTAGCTCCTCACATAAGGGAGTTAGAATCTATCTCTACAGTTAAGTGTGTTTGCACATTGGAAATGTGCTGTACATGACTCTGAGAAGCAAGCGTTCCCTGAATGCACCTTTCACCTAGCCTCTCATATTAGGAAGTAGAACCTATGGAACAGTAGGTTTGGAAGCCCAATGGAAATTCACCATCCTAAACTCTGATATACAAGCTCTCCTTGAAATACAGCTTTCAACTAGCGCCTCACATAAGGGGGCTAGAAACTCTCTCAAAAGTAGGTATGGAAGCACATTTGAAAAACACTCTCCTAAAAAAAAGAAAAAAAGAAAAAAGAAAAACACTCTCTTTAACTCTCAGAAACAAATGTTCCTTGGAGACCGGTTTCAGCTAGCACCTATCTCAAGAGTAGGTGTAGAGGCGCAATGGAAATACTGAACTCTGAGAAACAAACATTCCTTGAAGGCAGCTTTTTTTTTTTAATTGACATTTGATTTGTCAACATACAGGATCACACCCAGTGCTGATCCATCCCGTCAAGTGCCCTCCTCAGCGCCTGTCACCCAGTCACCCCATCCCCCCACCCACCTCCCCTTCTGCAACCCTTTGTTTGTTTCCCAGAGTTAGGGGTCTCTCACGGTTTGTCACCCTCTCTATTTTTTCCACTCATTTTCCCTCCTTTCCTTCATCATCCCTTTTATTTCTTACATTCCCTGTATGAGTGAAACCACATGATGATTGTCCTTCCCCGATGGACTTACTTCACTCAGCATTATACCCAGCACAAGATGAGCCAGGAGCAGATACTGGCAGGGAAGGAAGGAGGGCATTTGCACCCTGATCATCCCCACTAACTTCAAGCTCCAGGTGGCAGTTCAAGGTGGCTCCTCAGAGGGGGCATCTTCCCCTCCAACTGTTCATGCCTCTGGTCCTACTCCTCTTTCAGCAGCACATTCTCACAGGATAGCTACAACCATGGTTTGTCTGCTTGCCCTGTACTTCAGCACACATCAGATGCCTAATAAATACAAGGGTGCTCGGCCTCCAAGGCAGATGAGTGGGCGACCCATGGGCTTGGCCACACATAGTCAGTTGCCCTCCCCCACCCAAGGAACCAGGGTCTGCCCATTCGCCTATCCGTTCTGGCTCATTTAATCGACATAGGAACTCTGCATCAGTTCTTCCCAGGGTCTATCGCCACAGTCTGCAACTGGACAGTGAAAGCTTGAGTTTGAGGAACTGGACAGGTTGATGTGGTTGGTAAGTGATGGAGATGAGACTTGGACCTCGGCCATATGAGCCCACATCAGGGAAAGGCAGATCTGGGGCAGAAGACAGCAGAAGAAAAAGCCTGCCCCAGTCCTCCCGAGGGCCAGCTGGTCACCGCATCTTTGGATGGCAATTGCTTTGCCACCAGCATGGGAGGGAAGTCCATGAGGCCAGGCTTCTCCTCATGCAGCTGGTGCTCGGGGGCTATGCACCAGTGGCAGGTAGCCTCTGGGCCTGGAGGTGGCTCCGTCTCTATGTTTAGGGCTGGAGTTACAATTCCCAAGAAAGGTGGTGGTCGAACTGACTGCAGCTCAGGACCTGGCGCACATGCAGAAGAAGACGTGAGCCCTCATTCCAGATCTGGAACAGCTGATGGAAGTGATGCTGGCTCTGACGCATGCGGTGATGGTTGAAACGAGCTAGGGGTGTCGCTAGCTCCATCGGAGGCCCTTTCTCTGGCTCTGCAGCTGGAAGGAGCTGTGGAGCTGGCACCAGCACAAGAGAAAGAGAAATGTTCATCCACGTGACTGACTTGCCCCGTGCCCTTCCAAAACCAGGACAGATCCCAAGGCCATTAAAGGAACACCCAGCCCCTGAACCCCATCCCAGAGAGTCTTCCCAGCCTGCAGTACCCCTTGCCCTCTGCCTCTCCTCAGTGAGCTGCAGAAGTTCCCACGGCATCAGGATAAGGGGGGGGGGGGGGGTGTGGCACTTCAGGTCCCAGTCATGCAACTTCATGTGCACACAGGCCCCTTTACTTCAAAACAGGCACAGTGCAGGGACTGCCAGGTGTCCTGAAGTTTCTGGTCAGGCCAGGTACCCAAGATGGGGGAGAGGGTACTGGGGAGAGTCATATGTGGAGCAGCGTCAGAGGCCTGGCCTTTCCTTCCACATGCTACTCCCACAGCACCATTCTTCCTGTGTGGGTCCCAGAGAATGCCCCCAGCATGACTTCCAACCCCTCCGTAGCTGTCCTTGCAGTGGAAGGTCTGGTCGTCCAGAAAACCTGTATGAGTCTGGTTTTTCTACTTATCCTCTTCTCTCCATGGCCAAGGGCCTCATCTACTCCATCCTCCATGCAGACCAGTGTCAGAGCTTAGGTTTGCTGCGGATTGGTGAGCGGTGTGCTCACCACAGCTTCTGTTCTTGGCCCCTGGTGTGGTGGTCAGCAGAGGTGTATGGAGAGGGGCAGGCAGAGCAAGATGGGACACCTGAAGGGATGGATGTTTGAGGCACCAAATCAGCCCAGACCGTGCTCTGCTTCCCAGAGAGGGCTTGGGACCCCATCTGCAGCTCCCTTTGATTCATTTGCCTCTTCACAGGAAGTTCCCAAAATGAAGCCCTCCCAATGGAAATCAAGAGATCTGTGAGATCCATGGCTCTGAAAGTCCCTCCCTGGCCACAATACCTGTAGTCTCCCAAAGTGCTTCTGTAAACCCAGGAGTGCCACAGGCCCATGAGGATTGATGTGGAGAGCTTCTTCGCTGGGGAGAGAGAACTGCTGCACATGAAGATGCCCAGCAGCCCTTTCTACAGAGCCATGCACCAGATAAATCTATGCCATGTTTTCTCCCAGGATTTCCCATAGGAGCCCCATGAGGTCCATATCCTCTTACCACACCACTTTTCAGAAGAGGAAAAGGAAGTTTGGAGAGGTTCAGTGACATTCCCAAAACATACCTGTAATAGAGGCGAGCCTCACCCCCTGTGCTGTGCATGGTGTGGTCACTCCCCTGTGGAACTGCTGGCCCAGGACCTGCTGGGCTGTGGTAAACACCTGGTATATGCAGGAAATGACTGGGATGTTTGAGAGGTTTCTGTCCTGGAAGGATGGTACCAGTGGCTGTACGAAATCCTCCATTGTGCCTTCCTTGCCTGTCAGCATGGTGCAGGTCTCACCCAGGGACAGGGTTGATTCCTTTTCACACCAGAGAGACTAGGAGGGGCACTGTAGTCAGCTTCCAAACCATGAACCACTGGGAAGATCAAGGTTTGGCGCTCAGCCCAGAGACTCCCATCCCCTCCGGAAATTGTACAGGACAAGGGACTTGAGTGCCCACACAGAAAAAGGTTCTAGGCTTCAAAGTACCATTGGTTTTAGGGGAGACATGGTAAACCACTGGTATCTTCAACACATTCTGCTAGCTGAGCAACAACAGCATTTCTCTCAACTAATAGCCTTTATGAAGACCGGTTCGCCATTGAGTCATCAGTAAACATCCCCACTGCCAATAGGAGAACACAACGGGTTAGAACCTCAAATGCTGCTCAAGATCACATACGTTCAGCCTGAGAATTGTCCAAAGCATGGGCTGCACGGCATTTCCCCTGGGCTGATATGGCTTGATCTGTTCCTGACATGAGGAGAAAGGCTCAGGGGAAAACCACCTTCCTCAGCAGACCCCAGGGGAGCCAGTTGTTTCTAGTCTGCATTCTGGGCTTGCCCTGATCATCTCTAGGTCTTGACATTGGACATGAATGTGGACCTGTTCTCGCCCCAGACCGGCACTTGATGTAGGTTGATGTAGTTGGTGGCCTGATGCACCTGTGCTTGTCAGGGGAGATGGAGTAGTTGAACCCTTGGAGCAGCTCATCAAAGATTTCCTGAGTGAATCTCTAAAAAAGACAGAGCCAGCTACCGGGGCCACGAGGCATCAGACTCCTTCCTCCTAATCAGGGTTCCATGTTATGGCAGATCTAGCAACTAAAATGGTCTGTGGGGACACATGAGGCATTCCTTGCAGCACTGCAGAAATGGCAAGAGAATGGCATCAGGTCAAGTACCAAGGCCTTGAAAGGCTGAATCACTGTGGCAGACGGCCTCATTTCTTGGAGTGCTACGAGGACCTATAAGGACACAGCTCATGACCTGTTGGGCCTACAATGATCTGATGTGTTCTGAGAGAGGACACGTTACAGAGAAACATATAGAATGGCTTCATCCCACCCTTCCTTTTGTGTTAAATCATCCTCTTTAGTGTGATGATTTGTAAGGGCTTGGAGAAGTTCTGCAGGGACAGTGGAGCTGGGTTCTACACAGGCTATCTGGGACGAGTAGGTGAAATCATAAAAACAGTAGTAAACTGCAAAGATACTCATTGCTTTGTGAAAAACAAAACAACCTCCCCCAAGTCCTCAAAAACATTACATGTATTCTGCACCATTCCAGCATAGGTGAAGAGTGTCTTCCCACCTCATTACGTAGCTGGAGGTTAGGCGTGGGGGTTCAGATCTCTTTGCGGTTGGGCCTGTGGGACACTCATGTGGAAACGCTATGGGAGGGCCCCAGGTTTCTCCCCAAGTTTGCATTGGGGCCATATTTGTGTGGAGAACCCTCTTCCCATTCTCACCTTAGAACAGCACTGATCCTTGGTGGCCTGGTGCACCTGATAATTGTCTAGGGAGTTGGAATAGTTGAAGCCACAGACCGTCTCCTCTAAGATCTCCTGGGTGCAGCTCTGCAAAGACAGTGTCCTGTATATACAGGGCCAAGAGACATTAGGGTCCTCCCTGGGCATCAGCACAAGGGGACACCCCTATTAGAAATCGTGTTCTCCAGTTCAGGCCAGAGGAGCAGCTGAAGAGACATCTCCAAGGAGGAAGCCAGATGAAAGAGACTCTTGGGCTCATGACTAACATATTTGTAGTTGAGCCTGGTCCCCAGCACTCACCTTCTCATCTTGCCTGCTATGACCTGGGGTCTGAACACAAGAGATGTGTCAGGCTTCCAACACCTGGCAGTTGGTTTCTGCCCAGGAAGGGCATGTTCCTCTCCTCTGTCCCCTCTCCACACACACACATACAGTGAAGGGTAAGAGGTGTGGGCCCACTCAGGTGAGATCACAGTGTGGTCTGCTCTCCCATGGGCTGCCCCAAGCTGCCTTGTGGTACACGTTGGTGTCTCCCGCCACATGACCAGAAGCTTCAGAGAAGTGGGCCCAGCTGACGTCAACAGCAACATGAAAATCTCTCACTCTGGACTCTCCTGAGCCCAGAGTGCCTGAAAGTAGGAATACAGCAACAGAACATTGTGTTCTCTTGACCGCCTCCAGCTGGAAAGCAAGAAGGTCTAAAATGCAGGTTCCTGGTTACCAGAGTTCTAAGTCAGTTGTGGGCCTGTCACCAAGGAAGTGAGGTGACTTTTTCAAGATTCCAGCACCTGGGCCCCTGCCTTCAGTCAGACCCATCCAGAGCCCCTTCTTGGCAGATGACTGCTTACCCCATGTCATCTCCTTAACTGTACATGATGAGCCAAAAATGCCACACCCACAACTCTCTGAATATGCAAGTAAGGTCCTACCTTTACGGAGACGGAGTTGAATTCAGAACTTTATTTCTCTATCTTCCCAGTTCTGTGTCCTACCTAACCCCCTGTGTCTCTCACATAGTCCCCAGTTTCCCAACCTGCACAGTGGGGGTCAGGCTAGAATCTATTTCCTAGGGACATCATCAGGTGTCTATGGGTGATATTTATAATCCATGTGGGCTGGTATCCTGTGTATCTGAGGTGCAGATTTAAAGATGGAAGATTGACAAGAAGGGGTGGGATGAGCCATGGAGTACCACTCAAAAGTGGCCTGGGTTCCAGCAACGTACTGTCACGATGGTCACTTTCCCTCTGGCCTCATTCTAATGGGGGCACCGCAATGGGATGGAATGCTGCAAGATGCAGACATTGTCATCTTCTGTAATAAAACTGTCCGATTGTTTCCTGTCATATTTAGAACGAGACCCAGTTGCCTTGTTTTGGCCTCTGAGCTGCAGCCTTCATAATGACTCCCAGCAACCCTGACCTGTGGCATAGGTATCCCTGTGTAACCCCAAGGTGCTTAGTGCCTGGCTTCTGACCAGTAGGATACGGCCAACGTGATGGCGTGTCACATCTAAGTTCCAATGGGAAATCGCCTCTCACTTCCTAGTTACTTCCTCTCCTGTTCCACTTCACTCTCTTTCCCATTTTCTTCTCTATCCCTGAACCAAAAATCAACCAGAGAGGTTTTGAGCTGCCATGTAGAGGCTTACATGGCAGAGAACTGAGTCCACTTGGCAGAAAATCCTCTGCCTTGCCAGGCTAGCCTCCCATGAGGCCACAGCCGCAGCCTCTGGCGTACGTTGAGACTGAGGAACCAAGCTAATTTGTGCTTGGACTCCTCATCCACAGAACCAGTGAGAAATTACATATACGATGTGTAAGATGCGAGGTATTGGGGCAATATAGGAGCAGAGGAACGAGAGACAACTAACGGTCTACCAGGCCTCACATCTCTCCCTGCCCTCTTCCCTCTCCTCAGATCTCCTCCTCGTTTCCCTGCAGCCTCGCCGGCTGCCTTTTCACCTCCTCTGGCCACACCAGCTCCTGGTAGTGAGTATCTGCAGCAGGGGTCCCTTCTTCCCGGCACACTGCGCCCAGACGTGTGCAGATTGAACTCCCTTTTGTTATTCTGTTCTCAGCAATGTCACCCTCAGGGAGACCTTTCATACCTTTCTCTTCCATGACTCCCCAGGCTTCAGTCACAACACACAGTCTTGTGTAGCATATAGCCTTGCTCTTTTCTTTCACGTGTCTTTGTTTTTGTGCTTTTGTCCATCTTCAGAGTGTGAGTTCCTAAAGGCAGAGAGCTTGTATTTTTAGCTCCACCCATGGGCCCACCAAGGTATCTGGCATAGGGTGCGTGCTTAGTGCCTAGTTATGGAATGAATCAATGAAAAGTTCTTGGAACCCACCTCCCCTTTCAACCACCTCGACTGCAGGGAGAAATGCCACTAACAGTATCAAGTTGTCTCTGGGCAGGGGCATGACCACAATGGCCTCTGCAGCAGTCTTTCCTCTGCAGTGCTTCCAGCAGAGGTCCCTAGGTACCATTGCAAAAAGGAGGCCTCCTGCATCGTGTTCTCCAGCTCTAGCATTACAGCCCTGGGTAGCACACCACCAAAGAAAAGGACAGCTTTATTTGTGTGTCCTCAAGGCGGTGACTTTCCAGAATCACAGGGGCAAAGGAGCAGGACCTATAGGCTCCAAGGGCAGAGTAAAGGACCTCAGAAGCCTCCCTTTCCTCCCTTCCCTGTCCTCTCCATTGGTGTCCTCTTTACAAATTTGGGACCTCGCCTCAGCCAGAAGAGTGACCCTGCAGCCACCCATGCCTATCTAAAGGAGGATCCTGAAGGTCCTGTGGAGACCAGTCTTGTCCCTGGACCCCAGACACAGCATACTCTGGCATTTTCCTAGAGAAAATAAACACATGATAAACAGGTAGACAACATGACTCACCATAAGAAAAATGCAAGTCAAGCCCACAATGAGACATCACATCACATCCATTGGAAGAGCTATCATAAAAAAAGACAAGAGATGAGAACTGCTGCTGAGAATGTGGAGAGAAGGGAAGCCTTGGGCTCTACTGTTGGGATCGCACATTGGTACAGTCACTGTGCGACACATATGGTGCTTCCTCAAAGTTTAAAAATTGAACTGCCATATGATTGAGCAGTTCCACTTCTGGGACCATATCCATAGAAAACAGAAGAATATGTCCAGGAAATGCTTTCACCTCCATGAGCAGAAAGCACTATTTTCAACAACCAAGACACGAGCACACCCATGCCCATCAGCGGTGAGTGGATAAAAACGTGTTAGCTATAAGGGAACAGGAGTCGGCTGCGGGAAAGGAACCCCTGCTACGTGGGATGACTATGCTGGGCTTTGAAGGCATTATGCCAAGTGAAATGGGTGAGATAGATAACAGCAAATTATGATTCTATATAATATATATTTATGATTTTACACACACACACACATGGGGACTAGCGAGTGACACCATAAAGGTCAGCCAACCCTCAGGTTGGACAAAGTGCCATTTGTATGAGGGGTAGATAGGAGGAAGTGGAGATAGACTAAGGGCCCCCTGAGCCCAGGCCAATGTGCAGCGCTCCCCTGCACATGAGCTCCGAGCCCGAGCCTCACGCTGAGCCTCATCCTCAACTCAGCCCCCTGGGGGGTCTCCACCAGGTAGGCAGATAGGACCATCCAAACTCGTGAGGCCTAACCCTAACCCCTAATCCACACCCCAACATTAAACCCAACCCTCGCTGATGGCAGATACGGCCCTCCAAATTCCTGGTCTCTAACCTTAACTCTAGCTTTGCATCTACATTTTGTACCGTGTCCTATCTTTCCAAACAACCCGTCTTACTTATTTCAAAATATCCTACTTTTACTTTCAGTCTAAATGCATTTCCATTCCTTAGTTTTTTGCAACATATCTCCTAGTTTTCTACACACAGAATTTTCCCCTCATTCCTATCGGTCTATAGACATAGCAGAATTTTAACTTTTAGAAAACTTAGTCTCCCTTGAAAACAATGTAGTGAGCAAGTATGAACCCTTATATCAGAATTCTTCAGATGTAAATTTATGAAACAATAAAGCACAAACCATGTTTACCAACAGACTCAAAAATCCTTAAGTTCTTTGCAATAAGAAGCAAACACCATAAATGTACATTTCCTAGGCAATGCTTTAGTACTTTACCCAAACCAGAACCCAAACCCGAACCCCTAAACCCGAACTCAAACCCTGAGCCCGACCCTGATCTTATCCCTAACCCTGACCATGATCCTGACCCTTACCCTAACCCTAACCCCAACCCTAATCCTGACCCTCACTCTTTCCCTGACCCTGACCCTAACTTTAACCTTGACCCTAACCTTAACCCTAACCCTGACCCTGAGCCTGACCCTGACCCTAAACTTGCCAAACAAGATACTAGTTTATTTTATTTTTTTAAAGATTTTGTTTATTTATTCATGAGAATACGCAGAGAGAGAGAGAGAGAGAGAGGCAGAGACACAGGCAGAGGGAGAAGCAGGCTCCATGCAGGGAGGCTGAAATGGGACTCGATCCAAGGTCTCCAGGATCAGGCCCTGGGCTGAAGGCGGCGCTAAACCGCTGAGCCACCCGGGCTGCCCCAAGATACTAGTTTAAAACTACATTATACTAACACTTCCTTCTCAGGGTTAAGTATATGGCACTCGCCTGTTGCTTTCACATATACTTTTGAGATAGTTTCTAATGTCAACACACAAGAGTATAGGTAAAACCCACTTCCTGCGATAACTTCTTTCTCAGAATTAAAAGTAGGTCAGGGGCAGCCCGGGTGGCTCAGTGGCTTAGCGCCGCCTTTGGCCCAGGGCATGATTCTGGAGACCCGGGATCGAGTCCCACGTCGGGCTCCCTGCATGGAGCCTGCTTCTCCCTCTGCCTGTGTCTCTGCCTCTCTCTCTCTCTCTCTCTCTCTCTCTCATGAATGAATAATAAATAAATAAATAAATAAATAAATAAATAAATAAATAAATAAAGTAAGTAAGTAAGTAAGTAAGTAAGTCAGTCAGTCAGTCAGTCAGTCAGTCAGTTGACATCCACATGCACACATATATTGGATACGGGTTATAACCTGACCAAAGAAGATGCCAGCTGGAAGCTGCATTCTAGTAATGCTTGTTTCTCAGGGCTAAGCATCTGTCACGTGCCTCTTGCTTTCACACTTCCTTTTGAGGTAGCTCCTCAAGCGTCATCACTGGTGTGGTGACTCTGTGCCAGTCCTCAGTGCTTCATGCACGTTCCCTATGTCCTCCTCCTGACACCATGAGCTGCCTGTATTACTCCCCTTTGTGCAAGTATAGAAAGTGGAGCATTTCTGGGTGCACGGAGCAGCTGGGATTTGAACTCGGGCCTTCTGGTTCTGCTTTGTTCTGTGGCGTGTGTTCTCAGGGCAACCCCCACACAGTAACCAGAGAGAGGGGGCTGCACTGGGGCTGGGGGTCCTACATGGTCAGTGAGACTCCTGAGCAAGGGGCTCAATGGGCCACCACATGTGGGGTCCTGCAGATGCCAGCCGCATCGCCCCTGTGTCCCTGTCTGTGATGGCAACGCTCTCCTGTTGACCTTCCTCTGGGCGGTGTTTCCAACACCTGCATTCTCACCGAGGATCTGACACCTCACTCACTTACCACATGGTCTCTCCTATCCCCAGATGAGAGACACTTCCTGTCCATTTGCCCCTCAGGGTGGGCTCACAAACTGCCATTCACCCTCCTCTGCCTTTGTTTCTATTTCTGAAACAGAAATCTTCGCCTCTTTTGTCAACTTTCTTCTTGTTGTTTAATAATCCCACAATCTCCTTCCCTTCTGAGACCTTCCTCCAGGGGATTTTTTTTTTCTTCTCTCACACCTTTGATCTTCTCTATCAGTTATGAGCTACATCCAGCTCTTAGTAACAGAACATGAAACACACAGATGTGTGTACATGGACTGAAGAGTATTCACTTTTAATATGTAATAAAAGTCTAGAAATACCTGGTGGTTGGCACTGGTTCCATAGCTCAAGTCTTTACAATCTTCTTGGTCCCAGAAAGGTGGCTGTAGCTCCATCCATCACATCTTTGTTCTAGGCAACAAACAAGAGGGAGTGGGGAAAGGAGCAGCCAAAAGGAGCACCTACCACTGTCCCTTTGTATAGTCACTATAAGTCCCACCCAGCCACTTGCACTTATGTTTTGTTAGACACCCTGGCTGCAAGGAAGCCCAAGAAATGTAGAATTTAGCTGGTCATTTTGCCACTTAAGTTAGGTTTCTGATAAGAAACAAGACAAGGAAGTAGATGTTGTGTGGCTGTCTACAGTTTCCCATTCTCCTGATTGAATTCTTCGCTCAGTTGAGGGTAGGTCATCAGGAGACCAGGGGATGCTCTTGGACCCCCCCTTGCCTGACTGTCATATGATACAGGGTAGATGTTCCTAAGTTTTGTGTGAGCCTTCGTTGTGTGTGTGCACACATGGATGGATGTGTGTGCATGTACAAGGGAGAGCTGGGGCACAGGGGAGGCCACCTGAGGGCCAGGGCTGTCTAGTACCACTCTCTGTGGGCACTGACACTCCGTCCCAGGGAACTGGGGAGGCATTCCCAGATTCTCTCCATGGTGCAACCAGAGCACATCCTGAGAGCCAACAGGCTGTGGCACATTCTCGACCCCCTTGGAGGGAAGAGGCCACATCTGCGGGTGGCACCTATTTCCTTTCCCCTGCTCTGAACCCACTGGAACAGAATGCCTAAGTCTGAGTGGAAAAGTAGTCCTCCCAAGGGGGGAAAATGAATCATGCTTCTGCAGCCTTCAAGTTTGAAGTACACCTGTCCAATTTCTTGGCAGGGAGGGCAGATGTATTTAAAAAAAAAAAAGCTTTAAAAATAAAGAAAATCCATAAGATTATGAGAAATTTTCTTTTTTAAAAGATTTTATTTGAGAGAGAGACTGAATGAAAGAGAGAGCATGAGTGGGGCCATGGGCAGAGGGAGAGGGAAAAGCATGCTCCCCACCGAGCAGGGAACCTGATGCAGGGCTCAACTCAGGACCCTGGGATCATGACCTGGGCTGAAGGCAGAAGCTTCACCCACGGACCCACCCAGAAGCCAAGTTGTTATGAGGTTGTGCTAGTCACCATTCTCCACATTACCCCGCTTTCACCTCTCCTAAAGATCTTTGACATCTTGCGTATCCATTTCCCTCGTTTGGCTCTCTTTTAAAAAACTAGATTCAGGGCAGCCCCAGCAGCCCAGTGGTTTAGCGCCGCCTTTGCCTGGGGTGTGATACTGAAGTCCCGGGATCGGGATCGAGTCCCACATCCAGCTCCCCGCATGGAGCCTGCTTCTCCCTCTGCCTGTGTCTCTGCCTCTCTTTCTCTCTCTCTCTCTCTCTCTGTCTCTCATGAATAAATAAAATATCAAAAAACAACAACAACAACAACTAGATTCACCTTTGGAGAAAGGATGAGCCCGTGTCTCAAAGCAAATTTGTCTGCTTTAAACTAGGGAGCCTGGGGGAATCCTTGGGACTGTGGGAAAGGTGTGGACACTGGGCCCCTCAGAGTTTGGTCCCAGAAGCCTGTGGATGTCAGGAGGCCTAGGGCATGGAAGGTGCCGGCCTCATTTCTGGGCCAAGAGACACACATTTAGACATCTCTTTTCCAGATTCATCCCATTCCTATTCAAAATATAGATTCATAAAAACAGAAAGTAGAATGGTATTTGCCAAGGGCTGGAAGGAGGTTCTAAGCCCGGTAGGTGAGAAGGTGGCGCAAAGCTGCTCCCCAGGAACGCTGGGTGCTCACCGTTCAGTACATAGCACCCCTGTGCAGCTAGCTTGTACCTCCCACAGGTGAGAGGCTGGTGGCAAGCTGTAGGCCCAGAAGGCTTGCATCTCTGAGTTCAGTACGGAGACTTTCCATGGCACCTCCTCACCTAGAGTGGAGCCTGCTTCTAACTCCCATAGGTGAGAGGTTCCCATAGGTGAAAGCTGTGTTCAAGGAACACTTCTTTCTGAGAGTTGAGCCCAGAACCTGTCCCTTGCAGCTCCCTACCTACTGTGGAAATAGCTTCTATCTCCCTTATGTCAGAGGCTGGTAAGAAGATGCTGGGTGATGGGCACTGAGGAGGGCACGTGATGGGATGAGCACTGGTTACATGTTGGCAAATTGAATTTAAATAAAATATTGAAAGCAAGCCCTCAAAAAGTCCTATCTCCAAATATAATCACGCTGTTGAGTTTGGACTTCAACATACGAATTTTGAAGGAACACAACTCACTGTATTGTATACACACACGTTTTCTACTATGAGAGGCTAACCCTTCATGTCTCTGGCTTCTGAAGTCTTGCATTGTAATGCGACAGGATATGTATATGTGATAAAAGAGTAAGGTGAGAAGTCCAGCTGCCTATTCACGGGAAGAGACAAAGACACAAATGAAAAAACTTGTTTTTTCATTAATAATAATAATAAGAAGAAGAAAACCGTTCCAGCTCACACATTCGAGAGGACGGTTGCTGCATCAGGGGCTATAAAATGTCTGACCCAAACAATACCAAGGTATGAATAACCCCTTGAATCCTGACAGGCTGTGGCTAAGCTGACCTCGAGAGAGACTCTGGTGACTGGAAATTGGAACACTGGTTTCTAGTAAAAGAAAAGGAAGAAGAGATGTATGGAGACAGCAGCTTTATAGAACAACTTTCTCCAGTTTTTCACAGGGATTGAATGTTAGTGTTTTCTGCCGGAGGCTTAGTTCACACAAAGGAAAGAAAAGGAAACACACTGTATTATTCGACATCTTAGCAAAGGCCAGAGGGGCAAACACCTGGATAATTTGAGGAGAATCTAATAAAAGGGACTACCTAACACATGTGGCCCTGTTCAGAAGGTAACATCTGCTGGGGCAGCTGCCCGGGCACAGGCACTACCCTGGGCATGAAGCGCCCAGGGAGGCAGCTCCCCGGCAGCGGCACCTGGCAGGAGTTGGCTTCCGAGCATCCCTGTCAGGAGCCCGAGGACTCTGGCTGTATTCTCCTCCCTGGCGCCCCTTCTCCGCCCTGAAGCCAGTGGGGAGGAAAGCCTGGAAGCAGGCCGCACAGGTGGACCCCCCAGCCAGGCCTGCCTTGAAGTCATGGAGAGCGGGTCCTGAGGGGG